GGGAGAGGAGAAACCAATCCCTGCTCCTGCCATAAAAATTGATCCCATATTTTCACCAAAGAATAAAAAAAATTCTCCTCAGCTCTCCACAGATCAGGAGTTTGGTATTTTTAGCCCTGGCAATAAAATCCTCCAACTTTTCCATTCTTCTCATTCATTTTAAATAATAAATAAATAAATTCCTGCATCACTTAAATGCAATAAACATAATTTTAATAATTTTAAATAATAAATAATTCTAAATAATAATAGATATATATAATATATCTAGAATAAATAATTTTGAATAATAAATTATGGTATCATTCAAATACAATAAACTGATTTTAAAATAATAAATAAAGTACGGTATCATTCAAATATGATAGACTTCAATTAAAATAATAAATAAATTACTGAACCATTCAAATACAATAAACGGCATTTTAAATAAATAAATTTAATAAATACAAATAAATACAATTTAATACAAATTTAATAAATACAAACACAATAAACTGCATTTTAAAGACACTCCTGCATCTCCCATCCCTCATTTCTGCCCAAAATCCTCTCCGATTTTATTTTATTTTATTTTATTTGCTATTTTTGTGTTATTTACACAACCCCATCTTTCCCTGACGAGAATTCCAGAGAATTTTTTTTAATTTTTTAATTTTTTTTCCTTTTTCCTTTTTTTTCCTTTTTCCTTTTTTCTTTCCTTTTCCTTTTTTTTCCTTTTTTTTCCTTTTTCCTTTTTTTTTCCTTTTGCCTTTTTTTCTTTTTCCTTTTCTTTTTCCTTTTCTTTTTCCTTTTTCCTTTTTTTTCCTTTTTTTTTTCTTTTTCTTTTTTTTACCTTTTCCTTTTTTTTTCCTTTTTCCTTTTCTTTTTCCTTTTTCCTTTTTTCCTTTTTCCTTTTCTTTTTCCTTTTTCCTTTTTTTTTCCTTTTTCTTTTTTTCCTCCTTTTCCTTTTTTTTCCTTTTTCTTTTTTTCCTCCTTTTCCTTTTTTTTTCTTTTTCCTTTGTTTTTTTCCTTTTTCCTTTTTTTCTTTTGCCTTTTTTTCCTTTTGCCTTTTTTTCCCCTTTTCCCTTTTTTTCCTTTTTCCTTTTATTTTTTTTTCCCTTTTCCTTTTTTTTTTTAAATTTTTTTTTTTCCCCCATCCTCTCTCTCTCTCTTTTTTAGTTGGTTCAGATCATCATCAACACCACCCACCTGGAGAAATCCTGCAAATCCCTGGAGCAATTCCTGCCCAGCATCACCCACGTGCAGCCCCAGGCCCTGCACACCACCAAACTCTACGGCACCACCGCCTTCAAGGTCAGCCCAAACGGGAAATTCGGGAATTTTTTACATTTTATTTTAATTTTTTTTTGGGTTAATCTCTCCCCCAGATGGGATTTGGGGGAGGGATGGGTTAAATGGAAATGTTGGGAATGTTGGTGGTGGTGAAGGGGGGAAAAGGCAGGGGGAGGTTTTGGGGAAAAAAGGGGGAAATTAAGGGAAAAAAAAGAATGAAACTTGGGGAAATGTAACGAAAAAACCTCTCAGAATGAGAAAGGGAAGAAAAAACGGAGAATGAAAGAGTAAAACTTGAGAAAATATAATAAAAAAGTCAGGGTCAGTCATTAGAAATTATAAGGGAAGAAAAAAATGAGAATAAAAGAATAAAACTTGAGAAAATCTAACAAAAAAAAGTCAGAATGAAGGTTTAGGGAAAAAAAGAAAAAAACTTGAGAAAATATAACAAAAAAAAGTCAGAATGAGTCATTAGAAATTATAAGGGAAGAAAAAAAATGAGAATAAAAGAATAAAACTTGAGAAAATCTAACAAAAAAAAGTCAGGATGAAGGTTTAGGAACCGTAAGGGAAAGCAAAAAACTGAGAATAAAACTTTATAAAGAAAAAAAGTCAGAATAAAACTTGAGAAACTGGAACAAAAGTCAAACAAAATGTGGGATTTTTGAGGTTTGGAGCCCCAGTCCCATGTGGGATTTTGGTGATATGGAGCCCCCATCCCATGTAGGATTTTTGGGGTCTGGATCCCCCATCCCACGTAGAATTTTTGGGGTTTTTGATCCCCCATCCCACGCAGAATTTTTGGGGGTTTGGATCCCCCATCCCACGTGAGATTTTGGGATTTGAATCCCCCATCCCACGCAGAATTTTTGGGGTTTTTTGATCCCCCATCCCACGCAGAATTTTTGGAGGTTTTTTGATCCCCCATCCCACGCAGAATTTTTTGGGGTTTTAATCCCCCATCCCACGCAGAATTTTTGGGGTCTGGATCCCACATCCCACATGGGATTTTGTTCATATGGATCCCCCATCCCATGTGGGATTTTGCTGGTCTGGACCCCACATCCCATATGGGATTCCCTACATCCCATGTGGGATTTTGGGGTTTGGATCCCCCATCCCACGCAGAACTTTTGGGGGTTTTTGATCCCCCATCCCACGCAGAATTTTTGGGGGTTTTTCATCCCCCATCCCACGCAGAATTTTTGGGGTTTGGATCTCCCATCCCACGCAGAATTTTTGGGGTCTGGATCCCCCATCCCACATGGGATTTTGTTCATATGGATCCCCCATCCCATGTGGGATTTTGGGATTTGGATCCCCCATCCCACGCAGAATTTTTGGGGGTTTGGATCCCCCATCCCACGCAGAACTTTTGGAGGTTTGGATCCCCCATCCCACGTGAGATTTTGGGATTTGAATCCCCCATCCCACGCAGAACTTTTGGGGGTTTGGATCTCCCATCCCACGCAGAATTTTTGGGGGTTTGGATCCCCCATCCCACGCAGAACTTTTGGGGGTTTTAATCCCCCATCCCACGCAGAATTTTTGGGATTTGAATCCCCCATCCCACGCAGAATTTTTGGGGGTTTTTGATCCCCCATCCCACGCAGAATTTCTGGGGGTCTGGATCCCCCATCCCACGTGAGATTTTGGGATTTGAATCCCCCATCCCACGCAGAACTTTTGACTTTCACACCCATAACCCCGCACCCTTTTTTTCCCGTGCGCAGGACGCGCGGCACGCCGCCGAGGAGGAGATTTACACCAACCTCAACCAGAAGATCGATCAGTTCGTGCAGCTGGCTGACTACGACTGGACAGCCCCAGAGGCCGGCCCCAGGGCCAGCGACTTCCTGCTCGACCTCATTGCCTTCCTGCGCAGCACCTTCGCCGTGTTCACACACCTGCCGGTGAGCCACGCCCCTCCCCACACGGACACGCCCCCCAAAAAATGCATTGGGGTCGTTTGGGAACCGCACCTGGAGCTGCCAGCATATGGAAAAAATCTGGGTTTTAATGTGTTTTACATGCTGGGTTTCAATAGGATTCCCTGGTTTGGTTCGGGAGGAAATTTATTAATGGGGTTTTTAGGAAATAGATTTGAGCAGTTCTCCCCACAACTTTGTTTGGGGAATATTTCATTGGAGAGAGATGGGAAAAACCACTTTATTTAAGAGGTAAAGCACTTTTCAGCACAATAAAGAACAACACTAAACAGCAAAACTCTTGCTGGTCTAAAGAGCCCAAAAAATTCATGGGATCACCTGGGAACAGCACCTGGAGCTGCCAGCGTGCAGCAAAAATTCTGGTTTTTAATGTGTTTTACAAGCTGGGTTTCAGTAGGATTCCCTGGTTTGGTTTGGGAGGAAATTTGTCATTGATGTTTTTAGGAAATAGATTTGAGCAGTTCTTCCCCCAGCTTGATTTGGGAAATGTTTCGTTGGAGAGAAATGGGAAAAAAACATTTTATTTAAGAGGTAAAGCACTTTTAAGCACGATAAAGAACAACGCTGAACAGCAAAACTCTTGCTGATTTAAAGAGCCCAAAAAATTCATGGGATCGCCTGGGAACAGCACCTGGAGCTGCCAGCATATGGAAAAATTCTGGTTTTTAATGTGTTTTACAAGCTGGGTTTCAATAGGATTCCCTGGTTTGGTTTCGAAGGAAATGTTTCATTGATGTTTTTAGGAAATAGATTTGAGCAGTTCTTCCCTCAGCTTGGTTTAGGGAATATTTCCTTGGAAAGAAATGGGAAAAAACCATTTTATTTAAGAGGTAAAGCACTTTTAACACAAAAATGGACAGCACTAAACAGCAAAACTCTTGCTGCTTTAAAGAACCCAAAATTCATTGGGTCAGGTGGGAACAGGGCTTGGCACTACAAGGATGTAACAAAAATTCTGGGTTTTAATGTGTTTCACACGCTGGGCTTCAGTAAGATTTTCTATTTTGGTTTCAAAGGAAATTTGTCATTGATGTTTTTAGGAAATAGATTGGAGCAGTTCTTCCCCCAGCTTGATTTGGGAAATGTTTCATTGGAGAGAAATGGGAAAAAACATTTTATCTAAGAGGTAAAGCACTTTTCAGCACGATAAAGAACAACACTGAACAGCAAAACTCTTGCTGATTTAAAGAGCCCAAAAAAATTCATGGGGACAGGTGGGAACAGGGCTTGGCACTACAAGGATGAAGCAAAAATTCTGATTTTCAGTGTATTTCACATGCTGGGCTTCAATAGGATTCCCTGTTTCAGTTTGGGAGGAAATTTGTCATTGATGTTTTTAGGAAATAGATTTGAGCAGTTCTTCCCCCAGCTTGGTTTGGGAAATGTTTCCTTGGAGAAAAATGGGAAAAAAACATTTTATTTATGAGGTAAAGCACTTTTTAGCACAAAAATGAGGCCAAAATTCATTGGGTCAGGTGGGAACAGGGTTTGGCACTACAAGGATGTAACAAAAATTCTCTTTTTTAAAGTGTTTCACATGCTGGGCTTCAGGAGGATTTCTCCTTAAAAATGGAGATGTGGGTTGGTTTAGCACCTGGATTTTTCCTTAAAAAAAAGATAAATGGTTCAGTATCTGGATTTCTCCTTAAAAAAAAAAGGAGAAATGGTTCAGTACCTGGGTTTTTCTTTGAAAAAAGGAGAAATGGTTCAGTACCTGGATTTTTCTTTAAAAAAATGAGAAATGGTTCAGTACCTGGATGTTCCCCTGTAAAAAGGAGAAATGGTTGAGTATCTGGATTTTCCCTTGAAAAAATGAGCTGTGGGTTGGTTTAGCACCTGGATTTCTCCTTAAAAATGGAGAAATGGGTTGGTTTAGCACCTGGATTTTTCCTTAAAAAAAGAGAAATGGTTCAGTACCTGGATTTCTCCTTAGAAGAAAAAAAAAAAAAAGGAGAAATGGTCCAGTATCTGCATTTTTCTTTAAAAAAAGAGAAATGGTTGAGTATCTGGATTTTCCCCTGTCAAAAGGAGCTGTGGGTTGGTTCAGTATCTGGATATTCCCCTGTAAAAAGGAGAAATGGTTCAGTACCTGGATTTTTCTTTAAAAAAATGAGAAATGGTTGAGTATCTGGGTTTTTCTTTAAAAAAAAGAGAAATGGTTCAGTATCTGGATTTCTCCTTAAAAAAAAAAGGAGAAATGGTTCAGTATCTGGATTTTGCTTTGAGAAAAGGAGAGAAATGGTTGAGTATCTGGATTTTCCCCTGTTGAAAGGAGAAATGGTTCAGCACCTTGATTTTTCTTTAAAAAAAAGGAGAAATGGTTCAGTACCTGGATTTTTCTTTAAAAAAAAGAGAAATGGTTCAGTACCTGGATTTCTCCTTAAAAACGGGAGAAATAGGTTGGTTTAGCACCTGGATTTTGCCTTAAAAAAAAAAGGAGAAATGGTTCAGTACCTGGATACTGAAAAAGGAGCTGTGGGTTGGTTCAGTATCTGGATATTCCCCTGTAAAAAGGAGAAATGGTTCAGTACCTGGATTTTTCTTTTAAAAAAGGAGAAATGGTTCAGAATCTGGATTTTTCTTTGAGAAAAGGAGAGAAATGGTTGAGTATCTGGATTTTTCTTTAAAAAAAGGAGAAATGGTTCAGTATCTGGATGTTCCCCTGTCGAAAGGAGCAGTGGGTTGGTTCAGTATCTGGATTTTTCTTTGAAAAAGGAAGAAATGGTTCAGTACCTGGATTTTTCTTTAAAAAAATGAGAAATGGTTGAGTATCTGGGTTTTTCTTTAAAAAAAAAGAGAAATGGTTCAGTATCTGGATTTCTCCTTAAAAAAAAAAAGGAGAAATGGTTGAGTACCTGGATTTTTCTTTAAAAAAATGAGAAATGATTCAGTACCTGGATTTCTCCATAAAAAAAAAAAAGGAGAAATGGTCCAGTACCTGGATTTTTCTTTAAAAAAAAGGAGAAATGGTTGAGTACCTGGATGTTCCCGTGTGGGAAGGAGCTTTGGGCTGCAGAGCCATCGGGACTCAGTAATGGGATGTNGAAAGTGCAAGTTTGGGGTTTTTTTAATGTTGATTGGAATTTTTTTGTTTTTTTTTTTTTTCCTTGTGTTGCGGATGGATCACCCAAATTGTGGGTGAGAGCAAGGCAGGAAGGACCAGGCTGCATCCCAAATCCTTGGGCTCCACCCACACCCTTTTGGTGTCCAGGTTTTTCATCCTTGTAGGGGTTCAGGAAATTTTTTTTTTTTCCTGAACTGATTTAGGAGCTTTGTTCTGAAGTGCAGGAGATAAAGGTGTTTAAAAAAAAAAAACCAAAACCCGTGCAGAAAATGCTGGGGGTGTTGGTTAAACACCAAAAATGTGGGGTGGGCATCAGCTGGGGAAGGGAAGAGCCAGAGGGGTGAAGGAAAACAATTCCCAAAAATGTGAATTCCAGCTCCAGGAGGAAATTCAGGGCTCTGGGGAAAAGGTGGAGCTGATCCCAATCCATCAGCACAAGAGGTGGGGTTGGAAATAATAATAATATTTAATAATATAAATATATTATTAATACAAATAATAATAATTTTGGGGTCTGAGTGGAGCTGCTGCCCTGTTTGAGATGAGTTTTCAGCCTGATCCCATAAAATCCAGGATTTCCACAGTGCCAGTAGCTCCAGGACTGGGATGAGGTGTCCTTGGAGCACCTTCATTGCCACGTGCAGCATCTCCCATCCCTGATTTCTCCTGCTTTGGAGAAAACTCCCAGAGATGATTCCTGATGGATTTATGGGAGAAATCATTTGGATGGAAAATCAACTCCCAGAGCTGATTCCTATTAAATTTATGGGAGAAACCATTTGGAGAATCAACTCCCAGAGTTGATTCCTATTAAATTTATGGGAGAAAAAATTTTGAAAATCATCTCCCAGAGCTGATTCCTGCTGAATTTATGGGAGAAATCATTTGGATGGAAAATCAACTCCCAGAGCTGATTCCTGTTAAGTTTATGGGAGAAATCATTTGGAGAATCATCTCCCAGAGCTGATTCCTATTAAATTTATGGGAGAAATCATTTGGAAAATCAACTCCCAGAGCTGATTCCTGTTAAATTTATAAGAGAAACCATTTGGA